GTATATTTTTGATTTGGCAATTTTATGTAAATTGTTCACAATATTTACTTGTTCATTTTATGCAGGTAATGATGAAAGATATAGCAACTCCAGTGCCCCCTGATGAGGTGAGAGGCACGATTAAGAAGTGCCTAGAGAATGCCGCTCTCTTAAACTATACCCGTCTGTCGGCTGAAACAAAGATTGAAGGTGAGATATTGATGATATAAATTTTAAGACTTAAGTTTATGGGTATTGGTGTTAATGTCTTTCGTCACCATCTTTTTTTTATGTAATGAGGATATAATTGTATTTGTTAACTTTAATGATAATGTTGTAGCTGTTATTGTCATTATTATGAATTACTGAAAGTCTGGTTATATCAGTACTGTGTATTTTTATTTAATGATTTATACATAATTAAAAACTTTGAAATATTTAAAACAATGAATGAATACTTCATAACATTGCTTAGGGCATCTAGTTTTCCTCATTCCAGTAGTATGGCGGGTAGTCAGTAACAAAGGAAATTCAAGTTTAAATACTTATATGAAGTTTTTCATTTTGATAAGCGCGGTAATTATCGCTGATTCAGTATTCAGCTGTGTAATTTGTTTTGTCTGTGTTCCATAGGTGGAGACACCACTCTGCAAGGTATTTATTAATTGCATCAGATTTATCAATTTCTGAGGTTTGATGAACATTGAGATATATGTTGATCACTGTATATTGACGTATGTTGTTACTGTAGATTGTAGATTTGCATAGTGATTTAGCTGTTGCTTTCCATATGTCATCGTGTTTGATCTTTCGGTTTTGTGAAAACTAATTATATTATGATATTTGATTCTATTTATTTATTTATTTTTTTTTTTTTTTATGCTTTTTGGAAATTCAGATTGAGTGAGAGTTGAAGTTATATATGTTTAGTTTTATGAGGGTTAGTTTTATTGTAGTTTTTATTTTGCTTGTATTTTGTATGAACACACCAGTATATACTGTATTTACCTATTTATTAATATTCTTTTGATTAAAGCTATCCTGGAGAGCTACCTTCAGGGAAATAGAGAGGATTTTTTTTTTATTTCTTTGTAAGCAGTGCATGCACTCATGATGAACCTATCAACAGAATCATGAGCTTTGAGTTATATATGAATGTCACATTTCAAAGTGTGAATGACTGACTGCTTGTAGATAGCAAATGAAAAAGCAACATCCAGTGTAATCTCTTTTTCATGCTTAAAGAAATTTGTTTGCAGATATTTGAATTTTTAAAGTGAATTAATCAAGATGTCTTTGCTAATATTTTTCTTTTTATCTATTATGTATCATTTTCACCTTTTTTTCTCCTTTTTCAATTTTTCTCTATTGTACTTCATGCTCATCCCTCCTTTTTTTCCATTCTCTTCCTTTCTTTCTTAGTACACCACTTCATTCCATTCCTCTCTCCCTTTATATTCCTTACCCATTATCTTTGTTTCTTCTTGACTCCTTCCTTCCTTTCCTTCCCTGTTCTTTTTCACAGTGCTTCCTTTTAACCCCTTCACGACGGGTGACGCCGCAAGGCATGAAAACAAACCACTTGAAAAGTGGCATGCGGCTGTAATTCTCACACGCTCAAAGTCAGCGCGCTGCCATGGTTCGCCAGAGCATAGAGCTTTTTTTCTCTCTCTCTCTCTCTCTCTCTCTCTCTCTTTTTTTCTTCACCCGTCACCATTGGGTTAATCAACCTTCCTGTCTCTCTGCTTTCCTCCCCTCCTCATACCTTCTCTCTTCCGCCCCCCCCATATCTCCATGTGTTCACCCTCTTTCCCTCCTTCCCACACTCCCTCCCTATATCCATCCTTCTGTCTCTCTTCTTACCCTCTCACTTCTTTCCTTCTTTTCTCTTGATCCCTCTAATCTTCACCCCTATCTCTGTCTTTCCTCCTTCTTCTCTCTCCCTACTGTCATCCACCTCTTTAATCCCAGCCTTCTTTCACATCGACGCTGCTTTCCTTGTATCCACAGAGGACCTAAGTGGAGAGTCAGCAGTGTCGGCGAGCAGGAAACTCTATGATCTTATTCACCTGGCAGAGCTATGTGTCGATCTCCTTCAGCAGAATGAAGAACACCATGCTGAGGTAGGTTGCAAAAGCACCACTTTCCCCAATCCTTGCTCCCCCTTCCTAACCTTTTTTGTTTACAATCATTAATGTTATATATTTCATTTTCATGTGTTCAGGGATTGCTGCCCATACCCACTTTTTCAATGAATGGCAGCATTGTATCACATGGATTATTATTTCTTTCATCCGTCAAATGTAAAATGTTGAGAATCCAGGGTTGCACTGAATATATTTAAGATATAGCAATTCTGGTTCTTTCTCGTTTTTTCATTAGTAATCTCTTTTATTAACCAGGATTCTGTCTTGACATTATTTTTCAAGGAGAATAGTTTTTTTTTTAAACTGCCATATGAAATTTTACTTTGATTTACAGTAAAGATCACTCATTTTCAGATAGTCATAAAACCTCATTT